ATCAAAAAGAAATAAATAAATCAATTATTAGTAATTTTAATCAGGTAAATAAACTGATAATATCACTAATTACAACACTTTAATGTTATAAATTAATCTATCTCTTAGTATTAATAAAAATTAAATTTCAAGTTTTTTACTTTTTATTCATTTAATTGCTATCATTATAATTGCAATATTTTAAAAACCATCTTTTTTACAAAGTACTCACTTTTTCTACACATGTTGTTAATTAATATCTAATCTAAATTTTTAGAGTTGTTCAACTTGTTCACCTCTATTAGAAGCTACTGTATATTAATAGTAATTTAAATAATCTACAAATCCATTTTCTAATAAAATTAAACAAAACAATTTTATTCTTTACATAATAAAGTTATAATTACAAAAATATTTTCAGGCGAGTTATTCTTTAAAAGATATTAAATATTATTTTTAAAGTAATATAACAATTAGAGTCTTGAATTTTAGTTCATCTTAACTTAAAGATAATTAAAATAGATATTAAATTAATTATTTGATATATATATATATATATTATATTGTTACAATAGTAACAATAATTTTGTAAATTCAAGAAAAATTCTGAATTCAAAAAATAATTGAAAATATTAAAAACTCCTAAAAATAGTAAACTTTAAGAAATAGCAAAAATAATCATTAGATATTTATTTTATCACTATTTTTTTATTGCTTTTCATTAGATATTTATTTTATTACTATTTTTTATTGCTTTTCATTATTTTTCATTATTTTTCATTATTTTTTATTATTTTTTATTATTATTTATCATTTTTTATCATTTTTTATTATTGATTACTATTATTTTTCATTATTATTCATTATTTTTTATCATTTTTCATTATTTTTCATCACTTTATTTTTTTATTATTTCTTATAATTTTTTCTTTAAGATCATTAAAGAGTTGTATATCATTTACACAAAAGATTTTGTATATTGTGACTTTAATCTGGAAATATATTAATAGAGAATATTCCTTCAATTATTGATTTTGAACTTACTTATCCAACAGATATAGAAAAATCTAATCAAAAAATTTGCAGAGTACTTTCTTATATGAGTTCAAAAATACTAAAAATATACTAAAACTGCAGATATTTATAGTTTTAGAATGTACAAGGTTGTCACAAATGAATGACCATTTGATGAACAAATTCATGATAGATATCTTACATTAGATATTTATAATGAAGTACAACCTATGATATCAAATTTAAAATATTGGAATCCTATTTCAGAAAACAGAACAATTGCTTGAGAACTTGATAACTTTATTAATTCTATAATAGAGAACTAATAAATAATTTGTATTTTCAATACTATAGTTCTTTAAAATCTCCTAAAACATGTAAAAAAATTATTGAGTGTCTTAAACTAGAAAAGCAGAAATAGAAATAATTTGATAAGAAAATGAAATTACAAATAAGCTTATGAATAAAAAACAATAAATTCACTCAAATACAGTTTATATCAGTCAAATTTTTACTTCAAAATTCCAACTGAAATAGGTACTTTCTATTTTTAAATATAATTATATTGATATTATTATTTTATATTAATTAAAATTTATATCAAATGTTTAGGATTGACAAGTATCAGTTTGTTTGTTCCAAAATCACTTGCTATATTACTTCTAATAAAATATATTAAAATATTTATTTGCATATAACTCTAGAATATGTGACTACTAAATATAATATAAATATTATATAAATATTAATTAGATAAAAAAATATGAAGTTTCTGTAATAAAATTAGAAACTTTTCTTACTCTTAAAAGAAATAAAGAGATTTTTAATTATCTATTTCTTTATTTCAAACTTAATATTAATATAAAATAAAATTTTATCTATTTAATATTTAAATAACTTATTGAAATTCAGAATATTAAAAATAATCTTGTGCAAGTTCATTCTAATAGAATTAAAAAAATGACTTAGTTTTTTAAATTTTTTTATAAGATAACTCTGAAATTGTTAAAAATTTAATTATTTTTTGTATAACTGATTAAGAATAATTATTCAAGCTCTTTTAATATATCTCAATTATTATATTGAAGATATTACAATCTATTCACATCAAATTATATGATCACAGTCTCAAATTTAAAAAGTTAATTATTTTTATTTAAGTTATTATATACAATACCAATTAGAATTTGTATAAAAAAATAATATATACTAAAATTTTACAAATTAAAATATTCATTAATATAATTATATAATTTATAATATGTCTCAAATTTATAATAATATATAAAAAGTGATAAACTTTGAATGATTATTACTATATAAAAAATTAAAAAAACTGAAATTGGCTTTCATAAAATGAAAGTTAATAACTTATTCTATTAGTTTATAAAGAATTATTTTAAATATCTAGATTTGTAAAAATATAAAAAGATTTAAATTTTATTAATGTGACTAAATTATATGTATTATAATATAAATATATATTATAAAGAAATTAATGAGTTATTAAATCTATTTTTTATAATTTTTAACTATTTTTACTTTTCATAACTCATTAACTAAGTTTAAAATCTTTAATAAAAAGAATTATTATTGGATTATTACTATTTTAAAAGTTTCTTATTCTAAATAAAGAAATAATAAATCTAAACAAGATTCTTTAGAATATTTTCAGAAACTGACAAAATCAAACAAAAATAAAAAAATAAATTAGTAATCTATCTTTTATTATCTTCAAAGCAAAATACCAATTTATTATAATATGAAAAATAAATATTTATTATTTCAAACTGTAGTACTATAAGCTATAAGTGTTTTCTATAAATATATCTTCTCTATAACTAAAAATACAATTAGTTTTTCAAGAAATTACCTCCTTAAACAATTAACTAAAGCTTTTTTATGCTTAAAGAATTGGTTTGAAATAAAAAACTTGGAATAATATATAAAAATTAGAATAAAAGAATAAAAAAATTATTTTACTATAATAAACAATAAATCATTTTTCTGCAACAGCTATTTATTTTTTTTGGATAGTTTATACATATTATTATTATTCATATAGTATGTAAAATTATGTGTTACAAATGCAAATATATATCAATATATGTTATTACTTCACATAATATGCATGAGCTCAACTTTGGACTAATTCTTAATCAAAGTCCTAACTTTTGGAACAAACAGGATTAGACTTTTAACATTTCGACTTACAACTAATAACTTCATATTATTAATTATATTTGAAAAAGACTATTCAGATATTGTGACAAATATTTGAAAAAATACATTTCTTCAAATTCAACCACTATATAGTGAATTTTCCTAATATATTACATAATGATAAATAACTTAACTTTTCAAGTAATAAATTTATATAGATTTTTAATCATTTTTTATTATTGAAGAACTTAATCATATTAGGAAATAATACATCTTATGTGCACTTCAATTTTATCTTATTTATAAATTATAATGTAATTTTTTTTGAATCACATAATGACTTCAACAACCTCATATATTTTATCCTCGTGATGATCTGATATTAGTTTATTCAGTCAGATTGCTTTATAAATGTTCAAAAACTACCTTTTGCAAAATATTAGTGAATCTTTCAAAAGAAATTCATTCAAAAATATTTATTTTCACACATGTTTTTATTTTTGCTAGATCATTCAGCTTTATAAATTCGAGAGAGATAGTAACCCTTATTTTTTTCCTGACAACGAGCACATATTGGCTACAATGAGTAATGTGACAATAGCAATTTCAATAATTGTGAACTTGATAATGAGTACATTGAGTATTTTTCCAGTATTCATTTTATAAAATAAATGATAACTTAGATGGAACGTCTTTTAATGTATATAATAATAAAGGACTCCAACAATAATTATGTGTTTTTGTTGAAAAATGAGCCATATTTTTATAGAACTAGTTTAAACAGATGGAGGTTTACGCACTTAATGTACTGTATTCAACAAATTGTTAATTGACAAATGTATAGATTATATCAACAAGCAAAAATATTAACGAATACAATAGGTAATAGAAGTCAATTAAATATTACACGTAATATAATGTTATATTGATAAATGAAAAGTAATAAAGTATGCAACGGTAACAAAATATTATCACTAAGGGAGCGCCAAATATCAAGTGATTTTATTTACGTATTAGAGACCCACCTGATCAATCAAGATGAATCATAATCTTGTAGAACCTGATGATCAACAACACCCACCTCCAAAGAATCACCGCTCCCCTTATCGTTATTACAACTCTAAATGTATAAAAGTAGATTATAGAAATTAACGCAAATCACTGAAATGTTAACGTTAAATTATCGAATTAGAAAACTGCAAACTAAAACATACAGTCGTCCCCTCTATAGTCACCGCTCCTTAAAGTCACACTGCTCCTAGGTTACTAAATAAATAAAAACCCTCCCCTCTATACATGTCTAAGAAGTATTACGTACTATATAACGGATATTTATTATATTAAAGTTATACTTCTCTTGAAGCATACTCTTAGAACGAATAAGTTCATTTAAATGTGTTACTATAACGAGCTCTGACTGTACGTGGTATAATTAATATTTTGTTTAGTTATTAAAGAAAATTAGCTAGTTTCGTGGATTTTCTTAATGAAGTCACCAAAAATACAACTACGTATTGGACAATTAACACTTCAGATTTTTTCGACTGTCCAAATGTCTAAGTGTCCAAACTCTTGTATTATTAAAAAAAATTTAAATAAAAAATATATGATTATATACAACGAGAAGTTCTAAACATTTTTAATTAGTGTCCAAACAGGTTATTTTAATAAAATTTTGAGTAAATTTGATTTTTTTGGTCAAAAATATTGTCCAAAGGCATGTCCAAAGCTGTCCCGTGACAACACTGGGTACATGTATGTAGTTTACAACCTTCCTTGATGCATACATTGATAGAATAGATACACTGATTGTTAAAATTTATTTATTGCTAACGATAAATATTTTAATACATGTATTCGCTTTTGGTATAAATTACAAATATCGATATTGTTAATGATAATAAATCAAACTTTACTTTAGGTGTAAGATAGACTTTCATTTCTTGGCAGGCATTGCCAAGTTTATAACCAATTTTTAACAGTTGATTTGGATTCACCAATTCAACTTCATACTTTCCAAACAACAACACCATCAACGCCTTAAGCGACGCTATAGCCACATGTTTGCCTGGATACAATCTTACGCCACCACCGAACGGCATAAAACTATTCTTTTCAACAGGCTTCAAAAAACGTTCCGGAATAAATTTGCCAGTGTGCTTTATTCATATGTATTCCAAAAATATATGCAAATACAAATGTGCCGGCTTTAAATTTATATCCCGCAATTTCGTCGTCATTTGACATTTCTTTGAAAATTAATCCGGATACATTTGCCATTCTTTATGCTTCTTTAATTATTGCTTCAGCATAGTCGAGCTTTGCGAGCATATCGTAAGTGAATTGCGAAGGATCATTGCCAATAATTTGATGGATTTCTTGAAGTAGACGCGCTTTTACTGCTGGGTTTTGGCAAACATAGTAAATTATATA